TCTCAGTTTAAGCCTTTTTTTTTTTTTTTTACATTTTTCGTTGAAAGATCAAGACCAAACCTGTAGACCCTTAAATTTTCAGTAGATTTGAGTCATTTTTCCGAGCGCTAAAAATCGCGGAAGCTGGGGTACTTTCTTCGTTGGCCCACACGTCGTAAGGGGGTAAAAAACGAAAACACAACGAATCGACGCAGCGTTTATTTCATGGTTTTTTTTTTTTTTTTTTCTGATATTGTTTCTAGAAAGAGCGCAATCTGATCTACAGGATCTGAAAATTTCAGATTTTTTCATCAATTACTCTGAGCACAAAAAATCGTCAAAGTTGGCGGTTCAAAATTGCAGAACTGGACCCGCCTGCCACACTGTGCAACGTTAGGGTTCGGACACAGGCACTTGCCACACGAGGTGAAGTGCCAAGAATGGGAAATGAGATCATTTGGCGTGACATTTATTTTGTGGTCTAAACTTTTTTATATTTTCTTTTTTGACATTTTTTGTGGAAAGATTAAGACCAAACCTGCAGACCCTTAAATTTTCAGCGGATTTGAGTTTTTTTTCTCAACGCAAAAAATCGCGGAAGTTGGGGTACTTTCTCCATTGACCCACATGTCGTAGGGCGGTAAACAACGAAAACACAATGAATCGGTGCGACGTTTATTGCACGGTTTTTTTTTTTCCCTATTATTTTTTCTAGAAAGAGTGAAATCTAATCTACAGGATCTGAAAATTCTAGATCTTTTGATTAATTATTCTGAGCACGAAAAATCGCCAAAGTTGGCGCTTGAAAATTGCAGGACTGCACCCGCCTGTCACACTGTGCAACATTAGGGTTCTGACACAGGCACATCCTGACGTGCCAGCAGCCTGACGTCGGATACACTTCAAAAGAAAGCAGTCCCCAAAAGCAATCAAGGACCCAGTCCACCTGAGCAGTTATCTCATCAGGCAATTGAGTATTTCAAAATATGTGCATGGGTTCAAACCCCAACCCAACCACAACGACTGTGAGCAAGCTTGAAATACTAATACTAACATATATTAGTGTGTGTGTGTGTGTGTGCGTGCATGCGTGCATGCGCGTGGGCGGGCAGACCCTCCAACTTTTTCTTTTTTTTTTCTCACCCAAGCCTCTTTTGTTTCTTTTTTTTCGTGTCCCCGCCCAAGCCACCTCTTTTGTTTTGTCGCCGGCCGCGCGAAAACGCCAAAAAGGAAAAAGAAGCCGCCGAAAACGCCAAAAAGGAAAAAGAGGCCACCAAAAACAGAGACAAAATAAAAAAGAAAAGGAGGGAAAAATAAAAGAGAAACGAAAAAAAGAAAAAGAAGAAGAAAAAAAAAATCGACCGAAAAACAGAAAGAATTAAAAAAAAAGGGGTAGGCCACAAAACGACACTTTCTTGCTATCCGACGGTGGGCGCTTCAATATCTTCCCTCGCATCGACGCCCGCCGCCGCTGGGCCCTGTGGGTGCGCTCTCTTGTTTTCTGGCGCGCTGTGCACAATTCGGTACGTGCACCACTCTGCAATGCCCCCCTCCCTCGATCGTCTTCATCCGCCGGCCCGCATCAAAACTTCAACCCGATTCCGACACGCAGCGGAACACCGGCCTCCCCCCACGACCAATGCTGCTTAAGGGGTAAGACTGTATTATTATAATTATAATTATTATTATTATTATTATTATTATTATTATTATTATTATTATTATTATTATTATTGATTTTCTAAACCTTTTAATTGTTATTTTGTTTGTTTGTTTGTTTTTGTTTTTTTTTTTTGGGGGGGGGGGGAGTATTAGTCCAGTTCCTATTCCACCGGCAAGTGAGAAATAAATATTACATCATGACACACACTCACACTTCCTTCCGTCTGGCCGAAGGAACCCTGACTAGCATTGATTACTCCCGCATCGTAGAGGATTGACTGTCAGCTTGCTTTACTTACACCTTTCCTCTCCGGTCTACCACATGAGTCTGTCAGATAAATAATAAAGAGCAAGAAAGGTAAGAGAAGCTACGGAAGTTGCAGTCTTGGGATTTGCCCTCCAAAGTTATGTGACCTGTAATGTATGTTGTCCTTCTGCTGGTTGGGATCTCTGCCTTTTCCTCCCTGTTTCTGAGTTGTGCCATTCTTCCATCGTATGTGGAAGTCATTTATCTCTGCAACTTTGCCCCTTGCATGCCACACCTTAGTGAATTTTGCCTTAACTCTTCTCCGTTGCTTTTCGTCATCTGGCATGGACTGTCTCGTCTTGTGCCACTTGCAAAGGATCTCCGTCTGAATCGAAGTCCTTGTCTCCGCCCATACCTTCTCCCTTGGAGTTGAGAGTCCCGCATTGGTTCTACAACACCTTTCCTTCCAGATGGACCACAACGTTACCTTTCTGATCACTCCAAACCACATTTTCTCTGTCTTGTGGAATTGAGGTGGGATGTTAGTCCATAGGAGTTGGATGGGATGTTCAGGGAGGGGAGACGAAAAAAGGAATCCCAGAGATCCGAGACCCTCGCCCAATATGCGGTCGCCTCTCTACAGCATATCAGGCAGTGTAGCATATCTTAATGTTCATTTTCTGAACATACCGCGCATAAATCTGAACTGTTAGGGTCATTCTTGCTTCTTCTGCTATGCAGCAACTGGTTGACCGGTAGAGCTACGTATGAGATGAGCCATTGTAGGCTTCCGATTTGAACTGGGCGAATTGACTTGAAACTTTTCCATGACATTTGTGGGATCTGACTAGCGTCTTGACCTATTAGCTTCTGCCCTTTGTTCTTGATCATTGGTTCAGGATCCTTTGTTCTGAGGAGTAAGTTGTATTCCACCTTGGCTGTGTATTCCTGAATGGAGACTTTAGTTTTGAGGCTTCTGCTTCGGTCTGGTGCCCAAGCCCACTCTGCTGGATCAAATTCCAAGTCTTGAATCGCCGTATCTATTCTGAAGATTGTTTTTGGCCATAAACCCAACACTCTGACTTTTCTGAGTACCAAAGGGTTTATGACTGTTATTTCCACCTCCTTATTCATGAT